CCAGGAACACAATAAACATTACTATGATGAATTAGACCAGTGTGCTTCTACGCTATTTTCTCGTTTTTTGCTCTATTTGTGATTTAGGCCTAGACTAGGAGGTAGCTAAATACTTGCATTACGAAATCCCACCAGAGGACTTCTATTCATAGAGATTCTTTTTGACAGGATATACTAGCTCATTTTATATGGACTTAATTTTGACTTAATTTTCTCATTAAACCATTAGATCAGGGAAACGAATCATACATTCAGGACTCCTTTACCCTTTTACCACACTTTGTTGATCCTGAATGGCTAGTTTATCTTTAGCTAGTTCCCACCGAACCTAACCTCTTTCAGACCACATGCACTCTTGTTTTTCATTGTCCTATATGCAGATATGTGCAAAAACGTCGGAGAGAAAGAGATAAACGCGGTTTTCAGTCACTGAAGACGTAGACCTGCGATTTCATTGGAATGATTCAACAAAAGGAGATAATTCAGTTTTCCTTGGAAAAACTTCAAAATCTTGGTATAATTTCGTCCCTTACACTCTCTCTTTATAAAAGGTTATTTCCTTTCTTAAAAAAAAAAAAAAAAAAAAAAAAAATCCGAAAAAGAGAAGAAAAATATGAAGGGAGAGGAAATTAAAACCTTAGAGAGTCTAGGAGGATCGAATTTTATATTTGAGGCAAGGTTGATCTGATTATATGGAGTTTTGGAGATTACCTTTATGATTCCCAGAAAAGATCTAAGTCTGGGGGAACAACTGTTTACAACAAAGGAGGAAGATTATGCAGCAACATTTGGCAAAGAAGAAGTGACTGAAAATCTGCGGTCATCAACAGGTCCTTCTCTCTCTTGCGGTTTTGCATAATATCTTGTATCCTCCATATTCTTCAGGTAACCCTAAACACTTAAGCTCCACCACTTAAATAGCCTTTAATGCCAAACGCCGTCTACCCTGAATAAAGTCTTTGATGAGAACTCACAATATATTTAATGAATGTAGAGAGCTAGTTGACTAGAAGTTAGATCTAAGTGTGTAGTTTTTCACATGACGGATTAACGGACTAGTTTGCTTGTATTTTGGTGAGAATTTTCTAGACTAAATCCAAATAGATGTTTCACGATAAGTTATGGTTTAGAAGGACGGTCACTGAGATATTGTTTAGTTCCTGCAATTTTTCAAAAATTTCTTTCTTGACTTAAGTTTGTTTGAGGACAAACAAAAAGGTAAGTCTGGGGGAGTTGATAACACCGTATTTTGACCACTTTTATGGATCATAATTGTATCTTATGCAGGTGTTTTAACTCTGTTTTCAATGTTTTTTAAGTTTTTTCAATGTTTTAGAGTTTCAAAAGACTTTACAGGAAACTTGGGCAAAAGATATGCAATTTGGAACAAATGAGCAATTTTGGATAAATGCAGACCGTCAGAAGTATGACAAGCGATGAAGACCTTCTCACCGTCTGATCACCCCCAAAATTTGAGACAACATAGAAGATCCAACCATCTTTCTAATGCACTTGGTTTGGAGACAATCCAACGGTTAGATCTTCAGATATTCCCGATGCAAGAATGACAGAAAATGCAGTTCCGGAAGAGGACCACGAGCCGGGACCGCGGCCAACACCCATTTTCCCGCGGGTAGAGCCACCGCGACCGCGGACTTTGGTTGTTCACTTTCCCGACGACTTAATTAAAGTCCAGATCAATTCCTTTCGTTATTTTTGAAGCCCTAAGTGTCCAGAACCACCCCAGAAGCTATAAATACCCCCTTTATGTCATTCCTAAAGGTGGGAGAGACGACATAAGATAGAAAGAGAGAGAGATTTCGTGGAACCCTAGAGAGGAGCCGCCGCCGTCGATCCCGAAGAAGGAGCCGCCGCTGGAGAGCATCATCGCGCCTCCACCTGCAACTCTGTTCTTCGTTTTTCTTCCTTCTTTTCTTTAATTTCCTGCACTTTCAATTTCGTTTATGATGCTTTGTTACAATATTTTTGAGTAGTTACCCAGTTGGGTTTAAAGGGATTTTTCAAAGGGAATTTCATGTGTCTTTGCTTATGAATCGATAGATTTAGGATTTATAATCTTCTAGATGTTCTTCGTTTGCCTTTAATCTTACTGCGTGATTCTTTGCTGACCACTTAGAAACCGATCTGATATGATATGTTGCGAAAACTTTCATTGATTGTCTGAACTAGGGTGAAACGAGCAATTCTTCTATAGGAGTGGAAACCTACCTGTAGTTGAGTTGTGAATGTTGATGAGTCTTATTCTGCTATTGCATCTTCTCCCTTCCAGAATCAGAGTGGAAACCTACTGATTAGGGTTGCGAGAGATAGTTGTTTAGTGCTGCGAAAGTAGGCTATTCATACTTCCGTGCCTCGAGTTTTAGAACATACGTAGTTGATTACCTTTATCATATGTTTAAAATCGACCTAGCATAGACCATGAACCCCTGCGAAACCCCTTGAGCCCCAACGTTTGTCTTTAATTGTTTACAGCCTTCTAGTTTCAATCGATTTTTACCTTCGATTTTATTTGCTTTTCATTCGCTTTTACTTGCTTCAATTCGCCTCTTGTTTAATCGCTTTCTACTTGCTTTACTTGCTTTCGTTTTTCAATTGCCTTTACTTTCTTTGCTTTCTAGTTTAGATTTAGTGACAACCAAAACCCAAAACCAAAACCAAAACCTGTTTAGTTATAATCTGATTTAAGCGTTGCAGTGAATTCGTACTGAAACAACTAAATCTCTGTGGATCAATACCCTAAGTACTACAGCGCACATCTGTGCACTTGCAGACATTTAGGGGTTGTAAATTTAAAACCTGAAGCTTAGTAAAACGAAAACAACCAACCCCGCGTTTACACTCGCATCAACTGACAGAGTGATTCGTCCAGTATATCATCAAACAACTATCATATACATTTCCTCGAGGATACCATTGTTGAGAAAACCGATCTGAAGTCTTCAAGAGGAATATACTCTTTTTGTTCATTCATGAATATTTTATATAGATTTATTCATACAGATAGATATCTTGGCATGTTTCTTACAACCTTTTATTTTAAATTGTTTATCTAAGGAACTCCAACATGTATTTAAAGGCAGTCCTTTATTGTTGCAGTTGATCTTCTCGGTGTTGTCACATTTGTTCAGAAACTTCAGTTATGAGTTCCTATTCCGATACATCGGACACACCCACGCAATGTCCACTTATTCATTATAAAATTCAAGATTTCAGGTCTGTACAACTTATTCTCAGAACATCTGTTATGTGTATATTTTTTTATAAATTTTAAAGTATATTAATAATGTTCTAAATGATTTAAATATACAGTGGAGAAACTTTGAAATGTATTGCTTGGGATAACTTTGCAAAGAAATTTGAAGATCTTTGGACGAATCGTGAAAGGTCTTCTAGGCATATTATTGTATTGCGATTTTTCTCTTTCACTAGATGGAGAGGTAACTATCTACCTCATTATTTGATATTTTTAATTAATTACAAGTTTTACATATATATTTTTCCATATAGTGAGTATGTCTATATATTTAGATGAATGGATAGTTGAATCGGAAAGATTTATATATGATATTCTCGATGATCCTCCTACCCCAGAAGTGGAAAATGCAAAGTTGAGGTATGTTTATTCCATCTTTGATATTGTATCCTATATTTTAATATTTATAAATATATATATATATATATATGTGTGTATAATGATAAAAAATCCTAATATTTTTTCAGGCTTGCATCTTCAAATGATTTTCCTCCGGTCCACGATGAATATGAAGACCAGTCTCAGTAAAAGAGATTGTTGTTTCTTATTTCTTATTTTTATAGTGTTAAACTTGACTTCTATATATTCTGATTGAGATAACTTATCCAATGACAATATATATATATATATATTTATTTTTTTTAAACATTTAAATAAAAAATTAGGTATATTGTCGAGAATCGTACTCTATTTGTTTTCAACAAAAAATAACTATGATATTCAAAATTTGGATGGTCCGTGATTTGTGTCTATATTAAAAAATAGACGCAATAATTCCGGTATTGCACTCTCATTAATTATTTGTAATTAACAAAACAAAATAATTGACTTAATTAAAAAGAAGTAGTCAGTACAAGATATTGTAAGAAATCCGACTTCCTATAGTGCATTTGCCCTTTCTCTGCATCCCATGGTTGGAGAAGTATCCTGTTAGGTAGGGACTTACTGATTAAGAACCTTGGTTGGGCTGTTGGTAATGGGAAATCTATTCCCATCTGGGGAGAAAATTGGCTCTCCATGTCTGGACCCTCGGCTCCTTATGCCCCCCCCCCCCATTGGAAGAAGCTGACTTTCGAGTCTCTGACCTCTTAGACTCTAGCCTCATGACCTGGGATAGAAACAAAATCCATGATATCCTGCCAGAATTTGAACCTGAGATCCTGATATTCAACCATGTATCCTGGGATGTGAGGACAAAAGAGTCTGGCTGAGAGATAAATCTGGTGTCTATTCCACAAAGTCGGGTTACTTCTCTGCTCAAGAAGCTCTCTGCCAAAAACAGAACACTAGCTCTCTTGATTGGATTGCTGACATTTGGTCTGCATCACCAGTTCCAAAAATCAAAACTTTCCTCTGGCGTGCTGCTAGTGGAGCTCTCCCTGTCGGCACCTGGTTAGCGGAGAGAATACCTGACCTCAATGTGCCTTGTAAACGGTGTAGAAACCTGGAATCAATCCCTCACCTTCTCTTTCACTGCTCCTTTGCTACACAAGTCTGGTCAGAAGCCCCCTTTTCTCCCCCATTTGGAGACTGGTTAAAGATAGCCTTTGCGAGTCCTCATCAGGCATTGACAAAGGAGTCTTATCCCCCTGGTTATGCTGGAACCTCTGGACGGCTCGCAACAATCTAATGTTTGGGAACATTGACTTCTCTCCTGGTGAAGTCATCTCTAATTAAATCGATAGCTAATGCCCTAGAATGGTCCTCGAACCAAATGAGTAAACCCATGGCTCCTCAGCCAGTGGTGTCTGTGACTTCCCCTGATCATCCAGATGCATGTATCATCCACACTGATGCAGCTTGGTGCCCAATCCGCAAGGTAGTGGGACTGGGATGGACCTTCTCCTTTGAGAATACCACTCTCTCCTTCTCCCGACCTCACTCTTGGGCCAAAAATCCACTGGTGGCTAAAGGACTAGCCCTTCGGGCTGCTCTCTTCCAAGCAGCTGAAGACAACATAAGGAACATCTCGGTAAAATCAGATTCCTTTCAACTCATTGAAGCAATAAACACTGGTTCTGGCAACATTGATCTCCATGGTATCCTCGGACACATTGATTTCCTATCCAGAAGCTTCTCCTCTATCTCGTTTTCATTCATCTCAAGAAAACTAAATTGTACTGCTGATTCTCTTGCTAAGAGTTCCTTATGTAATAGCCCCTCAATTTGAGTTTAAGTTTTAATGAAGTATTGGTTGCACAAAAAAAAAATTCAAAATTTGGATGGTCCGTGATTTGTGTCTGTATTAAAAAATAGAGTACATAAATTCTTGTATTGTACTCTCATTAATTATTTGTAATTAATGAAATAAAATAATTGACTTAATTAAAAAGAAGTAATCAGTACAAGATATGACATTTTTCTACCATCTTTACATATTTTACTATATATATTTAATCAATATAAAAGTCAAATATACCAATGAATTGAATGTAACCATTTTGGTTTGTTCGTAAATCACTTAGTGCAATAAATGTCAAAGGTTGCTATTTATTCTAATTTTACAAAACAACACAACCTTTCAAACCCTATACTTGCTTTCCTACACATATAAAGGACCAAGTAGAAAAACTTGTCGCCATCTTAACTAAAAACAAACCTAAAGTCCCAGAAAAAAACCACTTTCCTCAAACATGCCTCGCTATTGTACCATTGAGTATCTTTCTCCCACAAAATCTGATTCCAGAATCCTTATAAAAGTTCTACGAGCTTGGGAACAATTCAATTACCGTAATCAACGCCAGGAATTGCATCTTATCCTCGGTGATGAAAATGTAAGTTCATATTTTGAAGTTTTTTTATTCTGTTGCATGTTATGAACATTTAAACACATGAATCTTTGAAATGATTATTTGGTTCACGAATTTAGGGCTACAAAATAGAGGCATCGATAGATCAGGATCTTATTTCTTCCCTCGGTCCAAAGTTTAAAGAAGGAGAATGGAATAATGTCATATTCTTCAACGTTGTCAATGCGTTTGGATCTTTCAGAAATACTATAACCTACCACTTCATCAACATGAACGCCGATAGTGTTGTAGACAAGACTTTTCAAGTCAATCCTAAGCATATGATGGATTTTATGTCATTTGATGCCATTATCCGAGGGAATTTCCCTACTGAGTACTCTATCGCTTAGGCTTCTCACCTTTATTCAATTTAATATATAGGGTTATAAATATTGTGTAATGAAAATGTTTCTTTGTAGACTTGATCGGCGTAATCATCTATGTTGATGATGAACTAAGTACTGACACTGATGATCCCTACGAGATGATTTTTGCACCTTCTCACAAACTGGACATTTAGATAAGGGACATGAAGTAAGATATTTTATATTATCATCTATATATGTAAAGGCCAATAATTTTTCTTATAATTCTGAGTATTTATATTTTAGTTAATGTTGTTGTAATATAATTTTTTGGTTTAGTTATGTTGATATGGGCATCGAACTCATTGGGAAGACTGCTCTGGATTTCTGGAAAAAGTGGGAAGACATAGGTACTTATGAAACAGTCTTAAGTTTGCGCATGTTTCATCTGACCTATGAATCTGAAGGTTAGTAATTAAATTTTATAATCGAGTGGAAACATTCATTTTCACTTTGTTTATATGATAATTTGGTTTCTAACATGTGTGCCTTTTATATTTTAAAATCATACAGGGAGATATCGCATACGGAATGCTGGAGACCATTCCGAAATACTTTTTAATCCTCACATAAAAGAGGTTTCTGATTATCTTGACTGGTAATTTTTCTAATTTGTATTAATATATATAATATGTTTTATGAGTTATTTTGATCTTTTTTCAATTGTTAACTTGAAATTATTTTCTTTCAAGCTTCCTTTTACCGATATCCATGGAGATCCGAGCTGGCCATAACTTTAATCCCTTTGTACTTATATTTTCTCGTAACTGTTAAACATTCCCATTATGTAATATTTTCCCATAAAACTGGAATGGATTTGAACATACTTTCGTATATTTGTAATGAAATATTTAATATTTATTTATGGTAATGTTTAATTACCAATTTACTTATGTCCTTTAATATCATTGTATTTATTGTTTATATATTTTACATGTATATATGTATAGTTTTGGATATAACATATACTATCTATATATAGAATTCATTTGATTTTAGAAATGTTACTTCCTTTATAGACATTTTCTTCCATCCAATATTTTACATTTCCATAATAATAAGACATTGCCAAATTATACTACTACAATATTTTAACGGCCATTTTTCATATTATGCCAAATTTAGTACCATAACATTTTATGTAAGTAGACTCTGACATTACATTTATTGCGAGCTTTTATGAATTTCCTTATTTATAATTATGTCACGCGATGCAACTATAACGCTTCTTACGCAATTTCATCCAATGCTCCGTATCAATCTTTTTTTTTGGTCCAATGCTCACTATTGATTTATTAACAACTTTTACGTATAAGAGTAATTTTAAATTAATTCCGATTGACGTTTGCATTTTAGTGCTGACAACTGACGTTAAGTTTTTCTCATTACATTTCGAGTTGAGTGTAAAATATTATATAAATTATCGATGTTTTAATGTTTGTGGATTATAATCAATGTAGCAGATGAGCTTATAATCTTACGAATCAATACACATATATGAGAAATTGAATTGGGAGAATAATTATTTTTGATTTTATTCAAGATAATTAAGGTACAAAAAAGAACAAAAAAAAAACAGAGATAATTTTAGTTAAACTCCGAAGTTTCTCCTTCCACGTTTATTCTTATGTGCCTATAAAATTCAAAAACATATAATGTAGTTAACTTCAAACATATTAGTTAAACAAATCAATGTATTAATGGAATATTAACAGTTTACCCACGGAGATGTATCTAGGTAGCGGTTTTCTGTCTTAACAAAGCCGCATTCTATAAATTTCAAACAAATCTCCAGATCTAGATGGAGATCGTGTTTTCCGTTCTTGCAACGTTTTTCTTTGGATCATCAGTCGATTTTTATTCATCAAGCTGCAGATATTACATATTGATATAAACATCCAATAATACATAAATCATCAATAAAACCGAATAATTAAGTTTAAATTACCTCAGAAGGAACCTCGATGGCCTTTGCAGTTGATTTGCTCAGAAAGTCATTCATCTCTTCCCACATATTAGTTTGCTCCATCTCTGATTCAGAAATTGGAGGAGGTGATGCTGTTTCTTCCACACCAAATCTCATGTTCAATGGTGGTGGATTAATTTTTAGTAATCTGTTTTCATCATAACTTTTTTCTTGGTGATTCTCCATTTTTGTCTAATCTCTTATTAGGCGTTTAGGGTTGCAGAGTAAATTTTAGAAGTATGTTTATAATCAAAGCAAACTCTTATTTTATATGGGATAGGGTAGTTAAAAAATATTCAATGTCACCAAATTTCTAGGTTTTCTTGGAAATACTGTTTCAACCATCCAGTTTGACTTTTTTACTTTCGCTTTTGATAAATGGACATAATATTTACACAAGTCTTCTTCGTCCAATTCACACAACTTAGCTCATACAAAAATATTGAAAAGTTTGGATTTTCCTCTTTAAAGTTTGATTTAAACCGCAATATATGGTAACATAATATTGTGCTCCGATAATTTCGAACTAATATTCTTATGAAGCAATAATGTTTAAATTGAATTATCTAACCATATATTCGGGATTTTTTAAAATATAATATGAAGGATATTGATATATTGTTATTACTTTCTATAACCAGATGCATATTGAAATTTTTAACGTATTCGTATATTTGTGTATGTCCTATTTAATCCATCTATATATTCACATCATACTTTTGTGAACTGCAACTTCATTTGTTACACTGAATAAAAATTCTCAATATTCTCCATTTCTACTGCTATGAACAGGATAGGTAAGCCTGATGCGTCCCACTTTATTCTATTAGGAATCCTTTTGATAGAACTATAGAGGCTTATCCTTTATAACTTCTTATCATACATTATTTGTTTCCTTCTAACTGTTTTAACAAGTTCTTTATGATTGTTTTCAGAAATTATTCAATTTCATCTACCAAGAACAAATTCTTCCAAGCGAAATAAGGTGGAAAAACTAATGAAAAATACAAAATTTATTGCTTGGATGGAGTGTAACAAGATATACGCAACTGCCAGATTCCTGCTCTACACTGAATTATCTCATCAATTTGTCTGGAATGCCACATTGCATTAGTGAAGGCCACAGGTGAAGGGTTCAGGAAATCTAACTATTCTTCAACAGTATTCAATTTATGATGGGAAAATTTTTTTTGGGTTGTCTGTTGAATATCATTAGAGGTCATCGCAGTTATGAAGATATCCGAACAGTTAATGGTGTTGTATACGACACCTTCAGATAAGTTTGCTATGCAAGGGTCTTATTCCCGGTCAATTAGATTTATATGTCTTTCTTAAAATTAGTTTTAAAATTGCATGCTGAATCTATATTTCAATAAGTTACTTTCATTTTGTTGTTTTTCATCGTTTTCATTTTTTACAATACTTTTTATGTTGAATATATGAAATACTAAGGTAAATCATCTACTAAATACTACATTTGCAACCGTTACATATTACATAATTAATACAACAGTCAACCAATTAATATTTCATTAAATATACCGTAACTTATAATTTATAATTTAGTTAATAAACTGTTATCATTGTAAGTTTAAAGTATCTTTGATGCGGATTAATCGTAACTTAATTGTTAATATGATAAATTATATCTCAAATTTTGGAAATCTCTGATAAAATTGAAAAACTTTTTAAATTTCATATTGAACTGAAGTACATAATATAGAAAAATACGGTTTATTGTTATTTTATATAATTTCTGCGATGAGAAATAATAAATCTAACAATCCTACAAATTTTGAAAATCGTTATAGTTCAAATTATAAAATCCCAATCAAAAGGTTTGTATTTCTTAAACAATATTGAGATCTCATTCGATGTAAATAACAATTTTCTACATAAGCAAGGACATTTTTTTCTAAAAATTCCAGTGACTAATAAAAAATCAACAATAGCAAAAACTTATGGAAAACGGTATACATTTCTCATTACCTACTGAGCAAAATTACTTATATCTCACTCTACAAGAAGTATATTGTCAATATTCTATCCAGAATTTGGTATAAAGTACTAACAGTATACTTCCTGTCGAAAGTGAGCATTCACAAGTAATATAATTACAATAACTGTGTGGCGATACAATGAATAAAACTACTTATTCTGATGTGATTCTTCACAGATGCACAAAAAATATTATGTAGGAAAACGTGTATTTTTCTTTCATGTAAACATATTTTTTGTATGTTTGTGTGAAGATCACATCAGAAGAATAATTGTAGTATGGGTTGTATTTGAGTGAGTAATTATTTGTTTGGTTAATTCATCAAAATTCTCTTATGGTGTGTATTTATAGAATTCTCTGAGAGTGACTCCTCATTTTTCTTCGCTGTGTTTCATATTCCCCAAAAGTCGTTTTTAATAAAAACATATTAAATAACATTTGACTGATTTATCATAATTTCCAAATGAAGATACATCTCGAAATAAATGAATATATATTCGCATATAATCTATAAAATATGTTCATATATGTCACATTTCGATGAATAACTTACGAACATAAAATTAATGTATGTATTTCATAATTACATGTATTCTTCATCTACACTTTCTTCATTATACATACCTAATTATAATTACTTAGAATTTATAACTGAAAATATGAGCCAATTGTAAGACACAATCCAATTCTTATACTAATAACATACCATTGGGCCCAAAATTAGTAACATTGTACCACACACTGTCAATTATCAATATTATAAAATTCGACCCAATAAACTTAACAATATACCCAATAAAATTAAAAATTTTAAAAACATTCAAGCCTGCACATGCGTGCAGACCAGTATCCTAGTATATTTTAAAACAGTTATGCGTAAGAAAATCAATTATCACATCTAAAATTTTTTCACAAATTTTGAATGGAGTTCAAAAAAAACAACATGAAAAGTTATTGATGTAAATAAGTAAAGAGATGATTTTCAATAAAATTTTAAACTTAAATAAAAACAAACAACACATTAATCATATTTTAGTATATAATATTTTACCTATATATACGTAAATTTTTATATTAATTTATGTTTATGTTGGGATCATATATTTTATAGGTGTTTCAAAAAAAATATTATCTTATTATTTTATCAAATTTAATGAATTTTTACACTGCTCCAACTCGGAACCCAAAAAATTTCACAAACATCGAAACAAAAACTATATTTCATACTTTTATAATGTTTGAAAATCGGTGTTTATGTTACAAAGAGTAGTTGTTTATTAGTTCTGAGTTTCACTACATTCTTCTCCTTGATGAAAAACAAAGAAAACAAAAATTAGTCATTTAGTCGTGCTGACACTTCATAAAATCAGTGACACATAGCAACAAATCAAATCATGCAAGTCCACATTCACAAGGCATTCCAAGTATCAAGTCACTTAATAAATAGCAAAAAAAACAAAGAAACCCATAATTAATCATTGGGGTTCGAGCTTTGACTCTGGGAAATTCCCACTGTACTCAAACGAGTCCTTGCCGTAAGGATCACCAGATCCTTTACTTGCTTCCTCGTACGTTCTTGAAGTCGATGCTGAATCTACATTAGGGTTTAACCCCGCAAGCTGCATAATGTTCTCAATCTCTTTCACTACCTCACCCATCGATGGTCTATTCACTCCTTCCTCCTCCACGCATCTCAGAGCCAAGTCTACGTACTTCTCAAACCCTTTCAGATTGCTGCTGCTTGCGATAATCGTCGTGTCCAACAGTTCTTGCAGATCATACAAACTCCTTGACTTATTCATCTTCGTCTTTACCTCTCTCACTACGTATTTGCCTCTCTCTATTGGACTTTTACCGGTTAATAGCTCAAGCATTACCACACCAAAACCATACACATCGCTCTTCTCCGTCAGTTGATTAGTCATGTAGTACTCAGGATCCAAGTAGCCCTGATACCAGAGAAACTTTTAGTTTTAAATGATTCTAAGAAAGAAAGAAAAGGAGGGCGATTGATTGTTTCTATACTTACCATGGTTCCTTTCACTTGTGTTGTCACATGTGTTTTCTCAGGGTCTCCCACTAGTTTGGAGAGGCCAAAGTCGGCAACCTTTGCGGTTAGATTTTCATCAAGTAATATGTTGTTTGATTTGATGTCTCTGTGTATGATTGGAGGATCAGCAAGCTCATGAAGATAAGCCAGACCCTTCCCTGAACCAAGTGCTATTCTAAGCCTTCTTGTCCAATCAAGTCTAATCCCGCTCTTCCCTGCATTATCATCAAATTCAGCACCCAAGAACGATCGTAATTCCTCAAAGGAAGAAAGATATTTTGTATTACCTGAGAGACTATCTCTAAGAGAGCCATTGGGAATGTACTCGTATACGAGCATTTGTTCACTTCTATCAAAACAGAAGCCCAATAGTCTAACAACATTCTTATGATGGACCCTTGAAAGAAGTTCGATCTCAGTTTTGAACTCTAGCCCTCCTTGCAAAGATCCTTGTTGAGCTCTTTTGATTGCTATGAGTTGTCCAGAGGAAAGAATTCCTCTGTACACCTGTTTCACCACCAGATTTGGGATCAGAATTTCAACTCACGTCATTGCTACTTTCAACTTATGCTATTGCAAAGAGACAAACCTTGCCATAACCTCCACCCCCAACATCATTTGCTTCTGAAAAATTGTCTGTACATCTCTTCAGCTCTTCAAAAGTAAAAGCTTTTGCTCCCATTAGCTGTGGAGCATCGATACTGCTCTTACTCGTATCCCACTTGGCTGAAACATACAATAAAAAAAATCAGAAGTTACAAGCAACTTTAACCTAAGGGAGGAGTATTTCGAAGTAGTAAACTTTCTCCTCTTACCAAAAGGATTATTTTGACCAGTTGCTCTATCTGCTCTCTTCCTCTGTCTAAGAGCGTAAACCCCAGCTAAAGTTAACAACAATAGAAGAATCGCAGCACCAACTGCTGCTCCTATTATAATGCCTGTGTTTGATGACTTGGAACCTCCTCCATCTGTGGCATAAAAAGGCAGAGAAAATAAGTTATATGGAATTCGTTTTAGATTCAGTTTGATTGTGTGAAGTGATCATACCGGAGAACTGACTGTAACGGTCGGCTCTGAATATGTAAGGGCCAAATATAGCAGGAGGCTTATAAGTCTGGTTACTAAACGCAAAATTAACAAGTAACATTCCCGTCTCATTAAAACCCTCTCTGCCTAAAGGAAATACCAAAAGATCTATTAGAAGCTGATGATCGGTTGCATTCTCTCTAATGTTTCTGATGCCCACGGAGTCCACCGGATAACTAAATTTCTTAAAGAAATCTGCTATTGTCTTCTGTAGAATCTCGAAGTTGGTTGAGTTGAACAACCCTGAGAAGGAAGGAGACCTGAAGTAGAAAGTTCCTGTGAATGGATACGCACACCGACACAAGGGACTTGTTTCCCTGCCCTGATCACAGGGAGAACAGGTTGATGGGATGGTAGAAAATGAGGTATTGTGTGGTATTGCTGAGCAGTAACTCGGCCTGTTCCCCAATTCCTGACACACTGGATTATCTGCCAATCTGTGGATATGTCAACAGACATAAGCAAATGACCGATGAAACAAAAAAAAACCTTTTTTGTTTCTGACCAGTATACATACATTACTTGGATGCGTGTATTAGCTGGTGGTTGTTTATAAACATCTATGTTATTGTATTGTAAATCAACAAACTCCAGCTGGTTGCTATAGGTTGTACCAAAGTCCAAGGCTGAGTCTATCCGATTGCTCTTTAGGATACTACAAGTAAAAAAAACCGCAATAAGTAAAGATTTTAAAACACTGAGTTGATTTTCCGATTTCATGTATTATTTAACTCACACTGTCTGCAACTGAGCAGGGGTGAAAAATGAGGTTGGTATTGAACCATTAAGTTGGATCCCTTCCATTCTTCTGCAAAGAAGAAGAACGTTTGTTCTTAGAAAGTATACACATGGAGATCAAGAAAAAAGAGATACGAGTAATATTGCTCATACAATGTTGCTAAGGAGCGTAATGAAGAGATCCATGATGGAATTGGTGAGAATTCCAAAGGGTTATTGCTCACGTCTCTGATAAAAAAAAACACAAACACATCATGGCATTCGATCGATTAAGAATGAAGGATTGAGAAGGAATAGAAATATATAAAAACTTACAATGTGTATAGACTGGTCAAGCTGGTTAAATTTGGAAGACTACCTGTAAATCTGTTGTTGGCCAAGTACCTGATATGGATTCAATTATAAACTCTCTTACCTTTACATTAATATCTACAAAGATAGAACAAACTCAGGTTGTTCACTTACAGTTCTTGAAGATCTGTGAGATTGTTAAGACTTGTAGGAATATCACCACTTAGTCTATTCCTATCAAGGCGTCTATAACACACATAAAAGTATATGAGGTAAAACATGGGATTAAAAAGAAAAAAAAATTAACAGTCTTTTACTACTTACAACACTGTCAGCGTTTTAACGTGGCTTAGGCTTTTCGGGATCGGGCCCGTGAATTGGTTTCCTTCGAACAGCCTATCGATAAAACAACAAACAATGCAGTCATTTTGTTAGTTACTACTCTCACCTTGTGAAAACTCTCAGCTTTCACAAGTAATTTGAAGCTTACACATGTATCAAAGTCATGCTTGAGCTGAAAAGCGTTTCCGGGATTTCGCCTGAAAGCTTGTTTTTTCCAAAATGACTGCAGGAGAAAGTGAACGAGAGTCAGACTAATTAGTACACTAAAGAGAGTGGTTATATAAATAAAAAAACTGAGAAATTTGGGATTATATATACAAATGCTTAGTTTCAAGAAGCATGTCAAGTCCAGGTGAAGAAGTCCCATTAGAAACGGGAATGCTTCCTTCGATCTGATTGTCAGCTATGTCGAACCAATATAGTTTCGATAACCGTCCGATGGAAGCAGGAATTGTTCCACTGAATTTATTTAAATTCAGTGAGCTGTATGGAGGAACACACAAATCAATACTAATGCTATTACAAAGGCTTGAGATTGCAAAGTGAAAAAGAGACTGTACTTCATGATAAGAAGAACGGAATCTTACAGATATATAAGTTGTTCTAAATTTCCTATGGACTCAGGGATTTGACCAGTGAAACTACATCCAACAAGGATCCTGGAGGGTAAACAGAGTTTCATTAAAATCATATATAAGACAAGGATATATATATATATATATATAAGTTTTACTATAGATCCAATGATCTAGTTTGCTTACAAGTTCCTCAACTTCTTAAGTTGACCGATATTTGGTGGAAGTGGTCCGGTCAATCCAGTATTGTATGACAAATCCCTACAACGATAGGATTATAGATGAGAACAGAATCCACTTATAAGTATGGGAAGAACATAAAAAAGAAGAAAGACGCATACAAGATCTGCAATTCAGGCAGCGCTGCAATATCCGCTGAAAGCTTTCCTTCCACGTTAAGGTTCCCAAGGGATCTGCAACAACACAAAGTTAAAAGTCTGTGTATGATATCGAAACAAGCATAAACCAAAAAACAACAAATAAGTTGTTACATTGAAACGACGCGATCATTGCTACATGTAATTCCAACCCAATTGGTTCCACAAGGATCAGCTCCTTCCCAACTATCAGGAGACGTGGTCCATTCAGCCTTCAGGGCTTGTAAAGCAGAAGCTGCACCAGTTTTTCAAACAATTCAAAGATTTTGAAAGTCGTTTACCTGAGAAACCATCTACTTAGTTATACTTACCGTCCAAACCATTTGTGAGTGCAGAAACAGAACAAGTTTGGAAGAAAAGCAAGATCAGGAGCATAAAGGCTCCAATTCTTGAACTCATCGTCAAACCAACAAAAAATCTCTTTTTCCTCTTCTTCGGTATCTAATTGTATATCAAAGAAAAAAGCATATGGTCTACACAAGGTATGACAGAATTTCTCAATAATAATTACAATCTCCTCGCACACCAAAACATGTAGACAATTATGTTAACAAAAAGGAGAAGACTTTGAACAAATGGAGTGAAGAAATATATTAAAAGAGAAAATAGAGAGTGGACCATAAAAAACTTGGTCAACTTGAAACAGCCGATAATGGGATTTTAAAAGAAGATTTCAATTCAAAAGGGTAATGGGAAGGAACAAATGATGAACAATACATTAATGAAAACATATGAGTTGTCGTGATGCAAAACTAGTGTGGGACCTGTTTTTATCTACTATATTAAATACACTCATTATTGATTTAGAAAAAAAAATTCAAAAAATATCTCCGAACGTATGATTTGGTTGGCGCAAAACGTTTCATTTAGCTCACAAAAATGGAGACTTGTGGAATAGAATAGAGTCGTGGTCAGCGACTAATGCAGTGACATGGCTCTTTTAACAGCAAGATGGAATAAAGTCATGGTCGACGAAAAAATCGGCTCAAGCATTTGCCAATTTGATATGATAATGCTAATTGCAACAATGATGACGCTGATTATTTGTTGATATATATTGACCTATACTCCTAAATTAATCATAAGAATAATCTAGCGGGTATGCAGGACATATATAAATAAATGGGATGGCCCCAACAAGCAATGTGAAGAAGTTGTGTAATCAATTGGGTCTAGCTTAAAAGGACTAAACCTTAAATTTCTTAATGTACTTAATTATCAAGGATAACTAAGAGAGTACAAGCAGGAGGACAATTAGGAAAAAAAAAAGTGGAGAAACGTCATGGCAGTGATGTACTGTTTGATGTATGTCCATTGTCCAACATAATGTTTTGTCGATCAACTATCAGAGAATGAAAATGTTGATGTCCACATACTACAATCATGGGTCGTGTATAGTGTTACGTCTCACAAATGCTCTACGCGTTGAGCATGTTAAATACAAGGTGCATGCCATCTCACTACTCCCACTAAAATCATTAGCCTTGAACCTCATGATTAATAAGAACAATTAAAAAAATCCTTTTTTTCTTTAACTTTCTTTGGGTCTCCACAACTTTAAAAGGTTAGTTATTAACTCGTAAAATCACCGAGCTATTCGCTTAAACTCTTACGGCTTCTACTAAACTTGTAATATTCCTAAATAGATATTCAATTTATTTGATCATGTCTTGCAGAAAACTTCAACAAATTCCTTAAACTGTTAGGGATTACAGATTTTCAACGATACTTCCAGAAAAACTCTCTTTAAATAATTTATTTGAACAAATCTTCAATCTCAGGGAAGAGTGCAACTCCTAAATTGTGTAATTCAAAATTTCTAGAGCAGCTCTTTCAATTTTCCAAATTTTTTGTAGTCATGGGGTTTATACCGAACTGAACTGTGGTCTGGCTAGTTTGGTTTTGGTCCAGTTCGGTTGGACACCTTAGTTCACTACTGAAAATATATAATATATAAATTTAGAAACAAAATTTCCAATAAAAGAAATATTTACTTAGAGGAACATTTGGTGAAGCATAAGTAGTAAATAGTTTTGGATATAATTATTGGACTTTTTTTTTTGGTGTGTAATTGACGTACTACCAAATTCTGGTTTGTATAGAGATGGGCAATTATAATATTTTCCACTTATTATTAATTTTCTTAATATTAATGGAAAAAGTAATGAGTTTTAGGAGAGCAAAATATTCTTGTATTCTAAACTAAATATAATTTTCTTTTCTTAAAATATTGGTTTTTATTTATATATATATATATATTTTTTTAATTTCTATAGTCCAAACATAACTACTATTTTTGAATTATCTCTTAGATTATGAATCAATCATAAAATTTACCTTTATTCACATACAATATTATTATACATGTGCCAACATCTAGTCAATTAACTTGACACTAGGAATTAATCCGCGTAATAACTAATACGCTGAATTATAATATTTTAATAATTAATTTTAAAATTTTAGTTAATAAAATTTATTGGTATATATAAGTATGCATATGTTAACATCACACAAAAAATATATCTATCAAATAAAAAATTAATTTATTGTTAGAATTTTATAATATTTTTTAAATAATAATAAATAGTGTAAATAAAAAAAATGAGTTGTTATATAACCTGTAGACAATAGACTAAAATATTATGATATTATAATCATCAACTCTAATTTGCACCGCTTAATAATTGAGTTTTATGGTCTGCAAACTATAAAAAATCAATTTTATCTTGTTTAACTTTATATAAAAATACTAAAATATTTTTTTAAACTTAGGCTTTATATATAACAAATAAAAATATAACAAATTATATTTATTTTTAAAATACAAATTATAAAATTTAGTAGATTGAATATACCACATATTTTAAAAACTAATATGCTGAATTGCGAGATTTGTTTTTGTGAATATTTAAAAATTAGAATCATAACATGTTCATATCAGACTAACTCGTTTACTTAACCATAGATTATATCTCGTGCATCCGAACGGAAATTTTCTTTTAATCAAAATTTGTAATTTAATTTAATCTTTCTTTATAAATATAATTTTTTACGAAGTGATATAAAAAAACATAATTTTAACTCGGTTATTTTTTTATATTTTTTTCAGTATTATTATAACCAGCATGATCATCAAAACATAATTTTAACTCGGTTATTTTATTAATCAAAAAGTGACCATTATTGTAAAAATATATTTCTAACTCGCTCATTTTATTAATCCGAAAAAGACCGTGATTATGAAACCATAATTCTAACCCTCTCGTTTATATTACTTTATAGTATAAATATTTACTAATTTTGAAATATTTTTCTCTTAATATCTTGCATGCTTTGATAACCTAACCCGCATAAGACCATAATTATAAAACAAAACTTAACTTGTCCCATCAAATTATTATATATTATTAATATTTATCTATTTTCAATATGTGAATGATAGAATATGATTTAAAATATAACAAGATATTTATTAATCATATGTGTTATTCTGAAAATCTTATTTAAATTTCAAATGTTAAATAAATCTAACCTATATTTAAGGAAGTCTATTTAAATTAATATCTATAGACTATAGATACAACCTATATTTAAGAAAATTTTTAGTTATCTAAATTAATATCTAATTTTTGGAATTAAATTTACATATATAAAAAAGTATTTTAAAAAAAAAAACTTTGGAAAATGTTTTGAAACAAACACTAAAAATGCTTCTGTTTTAATATAATAGATGTTTGTACTGGATTAAAATATAATTAGAAAAACCATTTCTAATATGCACCATTTAATGACTCTCACTTCACCATGATTTTTTTTTAAAAAAAAAAAATCAATTTTTTCATGTCAATTTTTTGGGTAAAATAACTGAAATATTATTTTTATATATAATCAGTAAATATAGCAAATTATAGTAAAAAAAAAATATTTCACCAATTTTTTTGGTATCATGACTTTTGATCTTGACTTTTCATATTATTTAATTGAAGAAATTTTTATTTTCACGTTTTTTTAATTAAATATACTATATCATATGAAACAAAAAATATAAGAATTTATCATGTTTTTAAATTGGAAAAACGATCTATTCCCCCTCCCCCCCGCCCCGCCCGAGAAGTATTACATCTGTGTAGATCATTCCCAAACTAAACCCTCGTCCTATATCTCCACCATATAAACTTTTACGATCTATATCCCCCCAATAATAATGTTCTAGATCGATTTCCCCATAGATGTTAAATTCGAAATCTGTTTCCCCATAAAATCAGTTTTTGATGGTTTACTATTTTCTAATCGTTTTAAAGCATTAAAAACCAATTATTAACCATAATAAACCAGAATCAACCAGATTACGACCCGATTAAAATTCTAAATCTCGGATTAAAACCATACCCGATTACCCAACCTCTGAAATCACAAAATCCCCAAAATCAAAAACCCTAAATCAGAAAACCCCAAAGTTAAACAATCTCCAATTCTTAGAACCCTAGAAATGGAAACGAATTCAACGTTAATGGCTCTAGTCATTCAAGATTTTGGTGAAGATGACTTCGACGAAGAAGCAGTGGATAGAGAAGCATGCGAAATCGAGAAGACGGTGGACGACTTCGTCGACGAGCCTTCGATCCAACACGACGTGATCCCAGAGAGTGATGACGAGGGAAAGAAACATCAGAAAACGCCGAGAGAGCAGACCCACATCAGACATGGAGACGGGAGACTGTACAAGCATCAGACATTCTTCAACGGAGTGGCTTTCAAGGAGTGTGTTCTTGACTATGCATTGAGAACAGGTCAAAATTTGTACCAAAAAGTATGATAAAGAGAAGATCAGGTTTAATTGTGCTGGTGGTGATCATGATGATGGTGAAGGTGATGATTGTTCGAGGAAAATCTATGCTTCAATTCTACCCAATGATCCGATTTGGAGGGTTAGGGTCTTTGAAGATAAACATAGTTGTGTGCCTAATGGACAGTGTAAGATGCTAAAGGTGCCACATATAGCTAGGTTGTTTGTTGACAAAATCCGAGATGAACCACAAGATTACATGCCCATGAAGATTGAAGAAACTGTTCTAGAGAAATGGGGAATCAACGTGACTAGGTCTCAATGTCAGGCTGCTAGGAACAAGGCATTGAGGTGGATTGAAACTGAATATAATCTTCAGTTTGCCCGTCTAAGAGATTATGCGGCTGAGTTAATTGACTCAAACAAGGGTTCTACAGTGGTGATCGAAACACTGAAAAATGCAGAAGGTAAAGAGGAGTTTAACAGGTTCTATGTGTGCTTTGATGTCATAAAAACAACTTGCAAAGAAACATGTAGGCCATTGGTAGGACTTGATGGCACTTTCATCAAACATAAGATCAAGGGGCAGTTATTGGTTGCATTACGAAGAGATGCAGACAATGGTATATACCCAATAGCATGGGCTGTTGTTCAGGCCGAAAATACTGATAATTGGACATGGTTTGTCCAGAAAATAAAGCATGACTTGACTCTGAATGATGGTGATGGTTTTATCATGATCTCGGATAGGCACAGGGTAATGTTTTTTAATTGTTTGTGTTTGTGTTTATTATTTTCATGTAACAAAGTTTACTTTAACTTGTTCATGTCTGTGTGTGTTTATGTTTCAGGGATTGATTGCAGCTGTCAAGTTAGAACTACCAAAGATAGAACATAGAATGTGTGTAAGACACATCTACGACAATATAAAGAAGAATCATGGGAAAAAAGTCAGACATGAAGACATACATATGGCATTTAGCTTGGAGCTACAATGAAGTAGAGTAGCAACAACGGTTGGATAGGATTCGATGCTATGACTCTGGTGTCTATGATGATGTGTGTAAGACCAAACCAAGGACTTGGTGCAGAGCGTTCTACAAGATGGGGAATTACTGTGAAGATGTGGAAAATAACTCTACTGAGTCTTTCAACAACACCATAAAAAAGGCAAGGGAGTTGCCTTTTGTGCCGATGCTAGAGATGGTTAGGAGACTTGCCATGGCACGGATTGCCAAGCGAAAAGCTAAATCACATAATCACAAAGGTAAGTTTGAATATGGTTTCGTTCTGATTGTGTTTTATTTTATGGTTTTGGTGTTTTTTGTATCAAGCATCAGTGCTTGTGTTTAGTTCTGATTGTGTACTTGTGTTTCAGGTATTTGTACACCATATGTAGCTAAGTTTCTAGCAAAAGAGAAGAAGATAGCTGATGACTGCAAAGTGGCATACTCAACAAATGGTGAGTACAAAGCAAGGGTGAATAGTTGTTCTTACCGTGTCAACTTGGAGAAGAGGACTTGCACCTGCATGAAGTTTCAGATTTGTGGCATTCCTTGTGAGCATGCTTATGGAGTTATTAATCATAAGAAGCTAATCCCTGAAGACTTCGTATGTCACTGGTTTCGTACGGCCATGTGGAAGAGGAACTACACCAATGGAATCAGTCCAGTGAGAGGTGCTTCATTCTGGCCTGCGACAGGTGCTCCTAATGTGCATATTCCGCCTAAGCCGCTACAGCCTGGAAGGAAGAAAATCACCAAAACTGGTAAAGAGAGGAAAAAAGGTGTTAACGAATCTCCAAAAAAGAAGGCAGATAAAGTGAAAAAGAGAATAATGCATTGTAAAATATGTGGTGAAGCCAATCATAATGCCAGGTTTCACAAAAAGCAAAAAACACAGGTATGTGTTCTCAGCTTTGTGTTGTATGGGTTTTGTGGTTTCGTGTTTTTATTTATATAGAACTCTAATTTTTTTGCAGGCTTCTCAAGCTACAATACCTGAAGGTCAAGCTTCACAAGGTCCTCAAACTCAAGCCTCTCAAGGTGAAGCTTCTCAAGGTGAAGCTTCTCAAGGTGTGCAAAGTGCACTTCCATGTCTAGCATGGGAGAATTGATTATGGTTAAGCACTTAAGAAATGAAGATGGATCTATTTGTCTTTGTTTTGTGTCAGTTTAGGTGTTTTTTTGTGGTGCTTTTTTCACAAATTGTATCAGTTTAGGAGTCTTTGACCACTTTTTTTTTGTAAAACTCATATTTTAATGCTAATGGTCTTGAATTAAGCACTTTTGGCTCCATCTTTGTCTCCCACTGGTAGTAATTGTATAATTAACTAAACAAAATACATAACAGACCAAAAACAATAATCTAGAAACACAACCATGCCCATACAACAATAAGTCATTACACTCCGTACGAAATTATTACACACCATACAACATCAAAACAAGAAAACAATCTAAAAACACAATGACCTCCATACTACAATCAACCTACACTTTGGTTAACCCAACCATGATCATACATCCAACTACTACAAGAGTCATAAGCATTTTCATCCTAAATTTGGCTTCAATCAACACATCTTCAACCCTCTCCATTATCTCCTTCTCGAGCTTCATTTGAACCTTTTCAAACATCTTCTAAAACTCTTTGTTACACTCTGTAGTTATCTCTTTAAGATCTTGTTCAAGCTTTGCGTTTTTGAATTCCAATGCCTCAATGTCGTTTAAGAATGCCTCATCAACCCATTTGAAGACATGGTTATCATTCACAAGCTACAAATCAGTAAAATGAATCACAATCATAATTCTCACACACAACAAGCCCCTAACAAATATAATAAAAATCAGAAAGCATTCCAATTACCTTCTTTGCAGCAGCAAAACTACAACGGAAGTATCTCCGATAGGGATTATTATCGGATTTGGATATCAACGCAACAATTTTTTCACCACACCAACAACTCTTAGGCACACCAACAACTCTTCCTCTTCTTGAAAGAGCACTTGATGATCCACTAGAACCTCCAGACACATTACTCGTAGCTCCAGACATCACCACTTTCAACCCAAAAACTAGAATAAGAACAAATCATAAGAAGAACAATGATGACGAATTTGTGATTCTGGACTATGACAAGCATAACACTACGATAATCAAACCCAAATAAGATAATTACCAGAAATTTCAGGAATTCTAGATTCGGGCAATCGATCTCTTCAAATCGAGTGTTAGGGTTCTTAGTGTTTGAAAAATTCGATTTGGGGATTTGGAAACGAAATATAAGACAACTCGGGTTTTACGTCGGGTCGGGTTTTAGTTTAAATTGGGTTATTTTCGGTTTAGGTTGTGGTTTGTTCGGTTGGTTAGAGTTTGGTATCGGGTTAAGAACATAAATCATGAAAACCAATATCTATAGGGAAATTGATTCAGAACATTATTATTGGGGGGATATAGATTGTAAAAGTTTATATTGTGGAGATATAGGACGAGGGTTTAGTTTGGGAGTGATCTACATGATACTTCTCGGGGGGAAATATATCGTTTTTCCTTTTAAATTCAGAAATTAAATAGTAAATATACTTTATTAAATGAGAATCAAAGACTTTCCATATTTTTTTCAATAGATTTGAAAGACAATTATATCCTTTCCTATTTTAATTATTCTTTGTTATTTGTAATGGCATTTGATGTAATAATTTCCAACATAAAAGTTATTTTTTAATTGTGTCTACATAAATAATATAATAGAGATGTGTTGTGATCACGTAAATTAGCAGCTTTGAAATATTTCCCTTTATATAAAAAGATACTAGATAAATACCCGCATATATGCAAGTTTTAATTATATTTTATAGTCATGAAAAAAATATTAGACTAAAAAGATTAGTAAATTTTTTTTAGTTATGAATTGGAGAAACTATCAAACTAGTTTTATAGAGATGGAAAATAAGAATTCTTTTTCTTTTTAGGTTTGTATTTTTTTTTATTTTAATTTCCTCAATCTAAACAACAATACTATTTTTTTTGTTGAACTTTAGTTTTCCAAAATTGTAATATATTTTGTTTTAATTTCTTTATGCTATACTGTTGTTTTTCTTTTGTTTCTTCTGAATTGTGGTTTTTATTTTTATTTATTTTTCCGTAATTTAAACCTAATTTTTTTTACCTTTTATGATTAAGTACCAATAATTATAGAATTTTCTTTTTATGAATAAGATTAGCTAAAATATAAATAAAAAATAATTAAGCACATGTCAAAATCTGATCGTTTATCTTGACATGTTTCATGATCAGACGAGTTCTTAATTTTGAATTATTTTTTTATATAATAATATATAAACTAGATTCTGACCCGTCCGCGGAACGAGGATAAAATAGTAAAGTACTACATATTGTTGCTCAGCCCAATATATATTGGGCTGAGCAACATAGAAATTTTAAAGAATCATTGGATGTCATTTATTGTTTCAAAATTGTTTTAAATAGGTATATGACAGGCCTAGTCCAATAGGTGTTGTCAGATGTGTGATGACCTATGGATCTAATTTTTTTCTTCAAATGTTCTTATACAATAATCCATATTTGAAAAAACAATTAAAAAACTCTAAATTGTTCTTAAAAAATTCATTTATTAAAGTCAATATTTGAAAAATATAACTTTAAAAGAATATTTCTAAGAGTGATTTACAGTATAAGGCACTTTCTGTAGTTTATCTAACAGAAAAGACACTTCTTGCTATTGGGGTACTTTATTTCCTTTTGCCCCACATGTAAAGACAAATAAACCCCTCATCCTACTAACAAAAATTTCACCCTTTACCTGTTTTTTTTTTTTTACCACAGTTATTATACTTAAAAACCGGCATTGTTCTCCGGGAAGTTATTACCGGAAACATTTGTCCCGCCATCGTTCGCCGAGAACTTATAACCGGAAGTATGAAATTGAAATTGGGTAAAACTTAATCGCCGGCGGAATGAAAATCTGTTTTGGAGTAATATGTAATGCGGTGGATGTGACGGAACTAGCGAAATGCGGCGGATGTTAAGGCCAAAATTGGTTGGGGAAAAATTTCGGATGAATTACTTGAAGACGTCGATTTGGGATTATTTTCAAACAATGGTTCCTTGTTTGTCCTGTATATTTGGCTTGGAAGTTAGAACAACACATGTGATTATGTAATTCGGTGGATTTCGTCGATTTCCGATATCTGGGTCGAAGACTTACAGAAAATGATTTGCCGTAAGATGTTGTGAACGAAGAGGATGTAGATGGAATATTCAGACGATGCTTATAGTGATGTAGTGGATACAATTCCATGGATATGTTTGAAAAAAATATGTAGGGGGTCCCACATTAAGTTTAAATATGCGATCATGGCCGTTCCTTTTGCACGCCTGCATTAAATTATCTCGATCGTGCGTCTAATCTTGCTTTGGTAGGTAAACGTCAATTCATACAGCTGAGCAACGTTGTAAAGACTAGGTTTAAGCTTGTTCCCAGTTTAGCAGACAAGTTCGGCGCTGGCGGACGGGTATCTTCGAGGTTTCCCGTTTTCCACTATTGTGTTTAGTTCGACATGGATGGTGTTTTCGTGGACATCGTATTAAATGAATCTTTTTATTCATTGCAGGTATGGATGAACATTGCCTGGTTATCAGTGGCGAGTGGATGCGTTCGAGAGAAGGTCTATGGGATTTTGTTGAGGACAAGCAGAAGATGTCGAGGGTTGTACATGTGAGGGCAGGAATGAGTATCGAGCAGCTTAAGAAAAGCGTTCTGAATGAGTTCTTTGACGATGGAGGTGAAGGTGTAAGCGTAACGTTAAGCTACTGGCCTCCTAATAGCAATGAATTGGCGACATGCATTTATACTCCTCCGGTGATGGTGACAAATGAAGGTTCCATTGGTTATTTCCTTAAACATTTCTGCGTTCAACCAAATGTAAATCTTTTCGCAAGGTTTGTTGGAGAACAGAGGAAATTTGGGAGAAGCGGTTTAGAAGGTGGTAGTAGTGGTTTAAAAAGTCTCGTAACGAAACGGAGTAAGACGAGTGATTTTTTTGGCCCAAATTCTGGGTACAAAACACCTTTCCCGACGAGAAGAGGCCCAAGTGATTACGAGACAGGGGGTTTTATGTTTCAAACTCCTCTGACTACCCCTGGTAATGGTCTGACAAGTGGGGAGGGTTCACACGTTTTGTTTAAAGATCTAGTTGTGTCTACTATGCCTGACTTTTGTAGCGATGAAGTTTCGTAGAATGGGCGTAAGGTTGGTTTTATGCCGACAAATCCGGTCGCTGAAATGATACAATCGGCGGGATTTCAGAGGATAGTGCTGGTAGTGTGATTAAAACGCCAGTGTCATCAGGTGGGGCAACTTATGGTGAGGCTTCTATTCACTCTGGGAAAAACTTACCTAAGACGTCGAGAATGTCGCAAGATGAAGTCTTCAAAACACCCATTGCTCCAGGTCGGGCAGGGAGCGAGTATTTGCATCCAAGTTTGTTCAGCACACCCATTAAGTCAAGGAGCTTTTCAGAAGATACTGAAGGTAGTGATCTATCGATGAGAGGAGCTTCCTCACCAAGACCTTTTGTTGAAGGTGATATGTCAAGTAGGGAAGCTTCTGCACCACCAACTTCCCAGAAGTTACCGTTTACTGAGTCTCAAGATGACGATGAACTATTGCAGCACACCGATAGGTTTGAGAAAATGTATAAAGGTGGTATTGGTAATGGGGAGTTCAAAGATCAAATGCATTCTGATTCTGATGCAACTGTTCTTACAGACAGTGACGATGATGATGGTGGTTTTATGGATGAGCAAGACGAATTTGATGTAATGCATCATGAGTATGATAAGGAGTTTTTGGAGCCTTTTTTAGATGAACAATTTGAAGGCTCTAATGCAGCTGAGGTTATGTGCGATCCTGTGGAAGCATCTGAAAATAAGTGGGCTAGTGTTAACGATGTAAATGTGATAAGGTGCTGTACTAATGATGCTTTTGACCACGATGTGTATGTTGGTCCCGGTACATTTAGTGGTTTTACAAAGACAGAGGGTAGTGGACGTGGAGGAGTGGATGCTAAAATTGGCA